ATGGTCTTATGGAAACTCCCTATACCCAGTTACTAGGGGAGGGAAAGCATGGCTTAGTTTGAGTGGGCTCAGCCTCAGAGAGCACCAGCTGGACATGCACAACTGCTTCACAACAGCAGTTTTACCCTCAGGTTTACCTTTGAATGACAGTGGTAAAGGACATCTTCTCAGAGGGCCGAACTTCAGATGGCATGTCTGGTTGTCAACCTCATGCTGGAGGAGAGAGGGCCTGAAATATGCATCTACTCTGATCTGTGGGAAGTGACAAAGGGGACCTGGAAAGAACAGCACTGGATAACTGGCCAGGAGGCCACGGGAAAGATATTGTGGATGTACCTCTTGAGATGGGCACAGACTTTGAATATAAATTCCCTTTGATAACAAACTTCACACAGGGTGTTTTGGGTCAGAGGCAAAGTTCTTATTGAATACTCTACAGTAAATAATAAGTGGGTCAGTTCCCCTTGCCCCAGACCATAACTCCAGGGTAACTCATGTGAGCTAAAGGGAAATTCTCTTACTAAAGTGGCTGAACACCTCCACCAGAGAGTGTTGAGGAAAAATAATTTTTCTCTTTACATAGAGGGGAAAAAGGAAGCTGTCATTCTTACCTACTTCCATGTTTTGGTATGTAAATCAAAGCTGTCAACCCTGGCTGGTGTGGTTCAGTTGGTAGGAGTGTCATTGCATAGGCCAAAAGTTCGATTCCTGGTCAGGGCACATACCCAGGTTACGGGTTCAATCCCTGGTTTGGGTGCATACAAGAAGGCAACCAATAGATGTTTCTCTCTCACATCGATGCTCTTCTTTTTCTCTCTCTCCCACCCCTCCTCCTCTCTATCTAGAAGCGATAAAAATATATTTTAAAAAATTCTCTAGGAGCCAAATAGATCCACTAGTCTCTCTAGTTTCTCTCACTCCATCTCAGCTTTTCCTATTTAGAGACTCAGCTATCGACCCATTGATTAATTGGAACCTCTTCCTTCAGGAAGGCAAGTATATGTCCTCATAGAAAAGTTACATATTTCATACATGGATATCTCCTAGTTCCCAAGCCTCTCCCCTTGAAAAAGTAAATTCTTAGGAGGAAGTTCCAGTCTTGCTGGCACAGTGGGGGCTTCACTTAGGAACTCAGATGTAGTCATTTGACTTTCTCCAATAGATAAGAGTTTTACTAGCCTTTCAGGTCAGGGCAATTAACTGGACACACAGCTCCATATCTAATTCTCATGGTATGTAAAGATATTTCTGTAGGTCTAGGACTTTTTGTAGGAATGCTGAGCAATCCGGGAAAATTTTATTTACCTATGGGCATATCTTAGGGTCAAAAAGTATCACAAAGAAATCTTTACCATCATTCAATAGCCTTATTTTTGGTAGTATTATTGATATTGCCCATTTTAAATTTTTACATAAAAATTATGTGATTAAAACAAATAAGTAATTATGTTAATGTCAATAAGTGGCACATTTTCAGGGTACAAAACAGAAATAAAGTATAACATCAACAAAAATTAGTAATAACGTGGCAATTCTAATTTGATTAGGAAAAACTAGTATGAACTCATGAAATATTTTCTGCTTAAAAAAGTATTTTATATCTCTCTCCACTAAAAACACTCAGTCACTAGGACAATCCAGCTGAAATGAGCAGTCATGGGAGTGAGTCCCTTTGCTCCTTCTAACCACTGCTCACCCCCACAGGGACCCACCACCCAGATCTCTAACACACAACAGCTCTGCTAGGTCTTAAGCTTGTTGTTGTGGGAGTGATGCGGTACAAATGCTTCTTTGCCTGTCTTCCTCATCTTGACCTTGTTTCTGAGATGCATCCATTTGCTGCGTCCACTTTCAGCTTGTCCATACTCACTGCACACATTACTTGACTGTATCGATACACTACAATTAGTTAATCCCTTCAACTCTTGGTGGGCTATTTCATTGTTTCTGACTTGGACTATAACAAATACAGCTCCTATTTTTATGTCTTTTATTGAATATGTGATATATTTCAGTTGAACATATGTGTTCTATGCAGATTTGCAGACATATTTGTTATAAATGTATCATACATGTGGAAGTATGTTCATATATGTAGGAGAGACACTGCTGGTCATAGGCAGGAATATTATATATTTTCAGCTTTAATAGATACTGCCAACCACTTAATGAAAACAACCAAGCATTTATATTACCTTTTCTATAAAAACTGAATTTCAGGTTAGCAAAATAGTTCATAAGGGAAAGTTTCTATTCATAGAAAAACTCCTTCTAATAAATGAGCAGAGAATGATAGGTTACAAGATGACCATTTGCAATCCCTACTAAAACCCTGGGCCTAACCCTGAAACCACTGGGTAGAAGGGAAGATGGATTAAGGCAACACCAGTCAAACCAATTAATATGAGCACATGAATGGGGGAGAACACAGATACTATGTCTGTCCTCGTGTGATATACAAGGAACAGTCATCTCATGAAATAATCTTGCCAAAAACTGAACCTAAAGCTAATCAAACCTCTAGATATAACTATAATTTATAGAAAATGTGGGGGAAAAGGGAAAGATTTAATGATATCACAAAGAAGCAATCAGTCAAATCTAGAACATGGTAAATCCTAAGGAAAATTGACCTGGTTCCTCCAATGGATTAATGATATTAAAAAAAAATGGGGCTATTCTTAGCACTTAGGCTTACCACCCAGATGTGATGTATGGATTAATGTGAATCTTACTTTGAATAACTTAAAAGAAATATTTTTGAGACATTCAGAGAAATTTGAATATAGATTGGGTATTAGAGAATATTAGAGAATTGTTGCTAATATTTTTAGTTGTAAGAAATGGTATTGTGGAGTGTTAAAAAAGAAAAATGTACATTAAAGTATTTACCAGAAAAATGGTATGATATATTGGTTTTCTTTAAAATATTTTAGCTTACTAAAGAAGTAGGAGAGGTAGACATATAAGATTGGCAAAACAATGTTGATTGCCGAAGCAAGCTGTACGTTAGTTCTCATTATTATTCTCTGTGTATGTTTTAAATTTTTTGTGATAAATACAACTTTAAAATGTTTAAAATGAGTTTCCTTAGTGATATAATATAGAATCTGTGCCTCACTAGAAAACCGTGCATTGTGTAGACTCTGGCTGATACCCTCTGGATTGCCTGATTCTAATTCCACCTGGGATACTGCACGAGCCTGTAAATTGTAGGTAACAGATAGCAATGGCAAACAGTTCCTGTCTAAGAGCCTACAAATTCTGTCCTACCTGGTACACTTTCAGTTGACCTCCCTTTCTCCCTGCAGAAGTTATTTTTGCCACAATTTGCAACTTTGTTTCAACACCCTTTGCTCCCTATAAATGTGCGCTATTTTGATTTCTTCTTTGACTCTTATGACATCTGCCTGATTATTTGCTTACAAGTTATATAAAATCTTTAACATGTGTTAATTTTTATATCTGTCCTAATTTACTCCCTTTTAAAAGTTATCTCTTAACAACAATAAATAGTTTTTCTGTCTTTCTTGTAAAGCTTAAATTCATTGGTGTATTTATGAATTATTATGTGCTAATGAATAATAAACCATTTCAGCATAAATTGTAGGCTGGTTGTACAAATATGAACCAACGTTTCCTTCCGTTTTTGTTTTTATTTCCTCGTACCATTAGTTCCAGAAACCCCTTTGAAACCTTTGTGCTAGAGGTCTGCTGGATGCATTTGCAGTGTGCATGAGAATTCAACAGAATAAAATATGAGCACAGCAAAACTGAAAACACTACAAAACAAAAATAGAGTAGCATCTCCTGAAAACTCATGCCAAGAATTCTAAAAATTTTATGCATGTGGATCCAAGATACACTGCTGAAACACACAAGCATGGTCTGCATTATTTAACAAAAAGTGATCCCTCTTTTCTTCAGTGCCTCTAACCGCAGGCGCTGGAATTGCTTCACGTTTCTGTGACAGGTACCCACCGCTACCTGCCGCCTCTTGCGGATTCAGGAGCTGTCTGCCATGGCGGCCTGGGCTCCGAGTTGGCTCCATTTTCATTGCCCTCAAAGGCAATTGGCTCAATCAATTAGTAAACATTCTTTTGTGTTTTCACAAATGCAGAATAACAAATTTGGACTCTTTATGCACATATAGCTCACTTCCATAAAAGGCTACTGAAACTGATATAATAGCTGTGTCAATGACCTCTCATTGAACTTTCTGTCCAATTTCAAAAAATACAGATGCTAATTGCTAAGAACAAGTAGAAGAATATGCTGAAAAAATGAGAAAGAAAAGAAAATATGAGATATATATGCTATCTTGTTCATTTACTTTTAAACACTTTAAACTTCTGGAGAAGACTGGCTTCCCTTCTCTCTCCTTCACCTGGCCGGCTTTCCCAGTGCAGCCCCCAAGGCCAAGCAACTGTCCTCTCTCTTCGAAGCCTGGCACGTGTCCTACCTAAGCGGGACCAGTCTTCCTCCGCTCTCGCAGCACTTTCCCCATGCCTCCCTCACACCAGTTTTCACGTTGAATTGTAAACTTTTACCCCAACAGCTTTCCAGGTCACTCCACGTAAAAATCAAAGCTGTTTCCCTCCCTTGCAATAGCCTTCCCATTGGACTCTGATTATGTCTCCTATTGGCCTCCTCGCTGCCCCAGAACAGGGCCCTGGTATCCCAGGTGTCCCTGGGCCAGCTTCCTCGTCTCTTTCAGGAGTTTATTTAATCACCATTGTTAGTGCTATCAGGGAAAGGGGGAGGGGAGAGGAGAAAATGGAAAGGAAAAAAGAAAAGCTCCCTAAGAGATTTATTTGAAACATGCCAGTTAACGTAGGCAAACAAACTTTTTGACATCTTCCCGCAGCCTCGATAGCCAGTGAGTTCCCTTTGGGATAAGGTTCAAGTTAGTGCTTAGAGCTTTCGAAATTATTAGCACTCCTGGGGACACCACGTGGTTTCTTTTGGGGAGGCAGTTCGCTGCCGGCCTCCGGGGCCAGGCGGGGCGGGAGGGTGGGCAAGCGCGGGGCAGCGGCCGCCGGGGGAGGGCGTGGAGGGTGGTGCAGCCCACGCTTTTCCGGACAGCCAGGGCCACCCCAGCCGGAGCGGCGGGCGGCGGGCGGCGGGCATGGCAGAGGCGCGGCTGGGGCCGGCGACGGCCACCGGGCTGCAGCTGAGCGCGCTGCCCGACCACTCTCTGCTGTTGCAGCCCAGCCTGGCCGAGCTGCGGCGCCGGGCGCGGGCCGAGGGCGCTCCGCTCGCGAAGCTGCCGCTCACCGACTCCTTCCTGCTGCGCTTCCTGCGCGCCCGGGACTTCGACCTCGACCTGGCCTGGAGGGTAAGCGTGCTCGCCGCTGAGCTCCACTCTACGGACAGGACTGCGTAACGCGGGCTGTGCTGTCCTGATACCCGTGAAAGCCGAAGTTGCAAGACGGATATTGGTGGGAACGCGCCCCGGCGCACTGGGCAGCGGGCGCTGTGGCTGTGGGTTTTCTGAGAAATCCAGCGTGGGCTCATTCACTTTGCCTGGGTCTTGGAAAACGAAAATCTGGCAAAGCCAGAGCCCTCTGGGGTGATGGCCCCATTGACACTGGAACTCTGTCCTTGATGAGTCTCTGGAACTTGTAAAGTTTGGGGAAATGCCTTTCCTCTTCTCTAGAAGAAAGCTGGTGATGGGGGCGTGGGGAAACAGTTGAGAAGTTGGAAACTTAGATTTATTTCATTATATCTTAGCAGGTAACTCCACGTGTGGAGGGGAGAATGAAATTGCCAACAAGATAGAAGGTCTAAAGCCAAATTCTAGCGAAATAGTGTTATTACTAGTAATCCTTAAGTGTCAAGACAGTGAAGTAGTCCAGTACATTTTGAGTGTAGGAATGAGGCTATTCTTTTGTGTTTCCAGGTTGGGTGAGAGAAGAGGTGGTGGGAAGACAGGAACCGGAGGGATGCGACCTTTAGTTTTGTCACTTTGAACTCAGCATCCTCACCGGTTAAATAATGGTGAGAACGCCTACCTCCTGGACTCCTTCCCACGACTGACCATTAACCACTTTAACCGACTAAGACGTGCCCCGCACAGAGCAAGCACTCAGCAACTGAACGCCTTTTCTCCAAGTGGCTTCTTCCATGTCAGGCAGCAGCGACTAGAAAGGCAAGAGCAGTGTAATAGTACAGAATCTCAACGTGTCTCAGTATGAGGGTTTTTGGTTGTTGAGAACTAATTTTTAATTGAAAAAGTAAAGACTACAGGTGGTAAAATAATCCATAAATAATAAAACAGTACAAAGTAAGTTTCTAAAAGTAACTTTTGAAAGGAAAAAAATTCCCACCCTACTCCTTAGTTTGCCAAGTGGTCTACGCACAGGATGTTAGTTACCTGTGTCTTGTTTCTCTTTCCAGGTAGAGCCGACTTTCACACAAGCATATGTATGTATTTTACACTTTGCCTTTCATAAACCTATTATATCATAGGTTTATCATAGAGAGCATCATATTTCAGCTTATATGTATCTGTTGAAATGTATATACACACTTTTTTCTTTTGTGGACCCTGTGCTCTTCATTGTATGCGTACATTGTGTTAACATTTATTGAGCAATCCTTGTTGTTAGACGTGGACTTGTCATCAGACAAGGGCAGAGCTGCCATGCATGCTCTTCATTCTGCGTTCAATGATTGTTTTTTTTTAAGGTTTATTTATTTATTTTTAGAGAGAGGGGAAGGGAGTGAGAAGGAGAGGGAGAGAAACATCAATGTGTGGTTGCCTCTCACATGCCCCCTACTGGGGACCTGGCCTGCAACCCAGGCATGTGCCCTGACTGGGTATCAAACTTGTGATCCTTTGGTTCGAGGGCCTGCACTGAGTCCACTAAGCTATACCAGCCAGGGCCAAGGATTATTTTTTGAACACTTACAATTTGCCTGACAGTATACAAAATGCAGTAAACAGAACAAATGGGATGTCTTCCATCACCAACTGAATGTTCTAGTCTGTCTCTGCACATTTATTCTTGTGTAAAAATCAGAATATCTCCTTATAAGACAAGTTCTACCTGCAGAATAGCCAGATTAAGTGAGATGTGTACTGGCGCTAATTTTGTCAGTTCTGTATTACACAATGGTGCATTTTTCCGCATATCACCACCCATGCTATATTAGCCAACTTTATGATCTGTGTGCCAACCTGCTAGGTGAGAAACTGGTTCTCATTATTATAATATGCATGTATTTAATTACAAGTGAGGTCAATTGTCTTCTATATTTAACACTTTAAAATTTTTTTCTCAGTAACTTCTTGTTTTTCCAATTTATTTTCTCCCAGTTTGTTTACATAAGATATAATATACATACAATATAATAGTTTTATTCATAAAATATCTTGATGTATAAAAGCAAATAGGCTGTTGTCCTAGTTTGTTGCATTGATATTGATATTTTTTCTGTGTAGAATTTTAAGTTTTCATGTAACAAATGCATTGGTATGATTTTTCTCTGATTACTTCTGGGTTTTATAAGCTCTTCTTTCCAAAATTTTCTTAAGTAATTTACTACTTCTCTTTTTTTGATGTTGGACTTGTTGCTGTACTAGGATTTCTTCAATGTTAGGAATGAACTAGGAATCTGACTTTATTTGTTTTCATTTTGTCAAATGACTACCTACGTGTCTCAACATCATGAGCAATAAACTAATAATCACTCAGCAGACGCTGAGTATGAAGGCACAGTTTCAGGTCCTAGAGAGAGTGCAGTCTGAGGCATTAAATATATATGAGGGGGAACCCAAAAACACCTCTAGAATTTATTTATAAAACATTGTGTATTTATTCTTATGTGTTTAAACTTCAAACACCTTCAAAATACTCTCCATCTGATGCAATACACCTATTAAGACCTTTATTCCACTGCTTGAAACAGGTTTTTTTTGTTTTGGGGGGTTTTTAAAATTCTTTTATTAAAAGATTTTATTTATTTATTTTTAGAGAGGGAAGGGAGGGAGAAAGAGAGAGAGAGAGAAACATCAATGTGCGGTTGCTGGGGGCCGTGGCCTGCAACCCAGGCATGTGCCCTGACTGGGAATAGAAACTGCGATGCTTTGGTTCACAGCCCACCTGAAACAGTTTTTTAATCCATCAATTTTGATGCCTTGTTGTGCTTCTGCCATTTTTGTTTCACCTCTTCCACATGGGTAAAACATTTCCCTTTGAGGGCTTTTTTTCATTTGGGGAGAAAAATTTGCTTGGGGTGAGATTGGGGCATGGGGGTCATGTCGTTTTTAGTCAAAAGCTGCTGAACACTCAGCATAGTGTAGGCAGGTGCGCTTGTAAATCACCCATCATGAAACGGGAAGATGTGTTGAAAGAGTCTTTAAAAAAATTCACTGAAGCGCAATGCCACCTCTTACAAAAACAGCAATTGGCACACTGATACAGATGGGTTCCTAGGATACTCACCTAGTGGGGGGAAGCCTATTTACAAGGGGCCCACCCTCCAGAAGATAATTCTGGTTTTTGGGGGGTCCCCCCTCATATGTTGTAGAGGTAACTAACTGCAAAAAGTTTATGATTTATTGTTGATTTCATTTTGTTTGCTTTTTAAGAGGAATATCTTAAACACAGCCAACTGAAGTGTGGCACTAGTGCAAAGGAGTTGGGGGGCCTGAAGAGGGTAAAGGGGGTCAAATTTATAGTGACAGAGGGAGACGAGACTTTTGGTAGTGAGCACACACAATGCAATACACAGGTGATGTACAATTACAGAATCGTATGCTTGAAACTTATACAATGTTATGAACCACAGTTACCCAATAATTTATAAATAAAAAAGACAAAAACAAAAACAACAAAATAGAAGAAATAAAATTTACCTCCAGCCCTTGCATTATATATATATATATATATATATATATATATATATATATATATATATATACACACACACACACACATATATATTTCTATATTCTTTATGTTCCTGAATTGTTTTCATTGCACCATATCCTTGAAGAATTTGCTAATAAGACTGTGTCTAAATCTACTGAACAGGGATAAAGTTTCTGTCTGTGAACTCTTGACCTTATTTTTCTGCCACCTGGAAATGAAAGAGAAAGTATTAGAGCATGAAGCTATTTACTTTACTTTACAAAGGCAGTTAATTCAACTCAAATTTCCTTGTTTATAATATAAAAGCTCTATAGTTTTATTATACAAAGAAACTTCAGTAAGTCCCTCAGTTGTAATGTAATTTCTCATTTTCCCTGGTTTTTATATTTGAAGAGATAATGAATTAATGAGGTTTTTAGAACTTTAATAGCTTTCAGAGTGCTGGTTACTTTGTAGGTACTGTTTGCTGGGTTATCTCATTATTTTCTCATTTTAGAAGAAACTGAGATGTAAGGGTTAAGTGACTTGTCTGAAATCACAGTTAAGTGGTAGAGCAAGAATTTGAACTTGGGTTGAAGTCACGACAGCCTGTGCTCTCAGGTATACTACACTTGTCTGTTTAAAACAATGAACATGAAAACATGACTATTAATTTTTGTCTCTTCTACATATTCTTGTGAATTTCTGTCTTTCACAGGTAAATAGTCCAGTTCCTTATATTTCTGCTCTATGTGATAAGTTTTTTATCCTCTAGTTAGTGTTATGGTTTTCCCAAAGACTTGGAAGCTTCCAAGGCACCATTGACTCTCCCTGCTAATTTCCCACTAAATGTAGCTTCTTTGTAAAATTTATCATATCATGGGTGTTTCAGTTTCCATTCTGCTCCTGTAGTTATTGCCCTTAAACTAACATATAACTGATGTCTCTGAGCTTTAGTCTTTTTGACACATAAAATGGGGTAACAATAGTTACCTCTCAGGTTGCTTGCGAGGATGAGTTGGAAATGATGCCATTAAAGGCTATGAAATCTTCACAGATATGGTTGTTATTTTGTTTGAAAGTACATGAAAATGTAAGAAGAAAGCTATTCTACTATAAAGTACAGTTAAAGTAAACCATAACTTTTTAATTTATTTATTCCTAATTGTGGTACAAATTGTGGTGCCTTTCAATAATGATATTTACTTGCACTCAATTGTTTTGTTGTCATGAACTTTAGGTCATTTGTTCAATAATTGCTTTGTAGTATTTTGTAATTTACATTATTCCTTTATGTCAATTGGATCTTTTAAAGTATTTGTCAGTGGAAAAGTAATAATCAAAGATCCAGGTATAAATATTTTAATTTTGCAAAAATTAAAGGTCAAAGGCATGTGAGTTAATTGTGAGTCTTTACAAAAATCATCTTCTCAAGTGTGTGGATCCAGCTGGTTTACTCAGACAGTACAGGGGTTCCGTTATGCTCAAGGGTACTTCTGGAGAACCCCGGGGATGCCTGAAACTGCGGACTGTACCAAGCCCTGTATGTAGTATATTTTTCCATATATATATGTCCCACATACATACTCCATATATATATATTTAATATAAATATACATATTTATATATGATAAAGTTATCGTTTTTATAGGAAAATAAAATTGTTATTTCTATATAGGAGCTAATATGCTGCTTCTAGCATTTTGCTTACATCAGAATTAAAAGAACTATTTTTATGCCTGTGAGAACTATGAAAAATGTAATGAGCATTACAAAATACTAGTAATACTTATTCTGATGCCCTTTAAGGGAGCATCAGAATAAGTGTTACTTAAAGGAGGAAGAAGAGAAATTCATCTTATAGACTAGGATGACTATATCACAATCATCTACAATGTGCCTTTTGTTTGTGCTGCTTTTGGAGACTGCTATTTAGGTCACCAGTTATTTCTTGGTTGGCAAATTTACTGACTTTTTTTTTCTTTCTTACCTCTCATTGTATTTAACTCTTAGAAAGATCCTCTCTTTAAAATCAGTTAAGAAAAGTTAATTAAATGTAGAAATGAAAGAGAGGGAGAAAAAGATAGGGAGACAATATCAGAGAATGTGAGGAAAGGGGAAAGAGAGACACACACACACACAGACACACACACACACGACTTTTACTCCTTTCTGTGCACCATAGCAGTGTTTCTCCTAAAATCCAACCAGCTTCTCTCTTCTTCTTCTAGCCATTCTCAGCTATGGGCATCTCCCATGGCTTGGACTTTCACTCTCTACTTGTTTTTTAGAATTTATATTTGTGGAATTCTGGTCAAGATAGAGATGTAGGTAGGACCACTTTGCTTCCTCACACAAACAAAAGAAGAATAACAACCGATTTAAAACCAAAAAAAAAACCTCCACCAGAACTGCTAGAAAATAAAACTGCATGGAAGTCCAACAACCAAGGAGTTAAAGAAACATTCATCTAGACTGGTAGCAGGGGGTGGAGATGGGCAGCCGGGGAAGAGAGAACATGTGACAAGGTGGTGGACCCCATGGGCGAGACTGTGGGTGGTTGACCTAGCGGTCCTACATTTGCACAAAGATAAGCCAAGAAGAACAACTGAGGAGTGAAACCACAGAACCCAGGGTTTCAGAGTGGGAAACTAAAAACTCAAAACCTCTGGCTGTAAAAATCTGAGAGGGTTGGGGGGGTAGGAGAAATTCCCAGTCTCACCAGAAACTCCATTGGAGAGGCCCACAGGGTCCTAGAATGTACATAAGGCAACCCACCTGGGAATACGCATACAGGGCACAATCCCCTTGTGGGAAGCACCCTGGGTTCTGACACTGGTAATCAGGATGCTCACAGAATTGATGAGAGTTCAGTCAAAAAATGAAGGAATATGCCCTGGCTGGCGTAGCTCAGTGGATTGAGCATGGACTGTGAACTAAAGCATCGTAGGTTCGATTCCCAGCCAGGGCACATGCCTGGGTTGCAGGCCATGGCCCCCAGCAACCGCACATTGATGTTTCTCTCTCTTTCTCTCTCTCTTTCTCCCTCCCTTCCCTGTCTAAAAATAAATAAATAAATCTTTAAAAAAAAGAAGGAATAAACAAAGGCTACCCAAAGTGAAATAAAGGAAAATAAACAGGGAAGCAACAGTGAAGGGAAAGAAACTGGGACTCAAATCAATGATTTGGAACAAAAGGAAGGAATAAACATTCAACCAGAACAGAATGATAGAACAAGAATTCAGAAATATGAGGAGAGGCTGAGGAACCTATGGGACAACTTTAAACATTCCAACATCTGAATCATAGGGGTGCCAGAAGGAGAAGAGGAAGAGCAAGAAATTGAAAAGTTATTTGAACAAATAATGAAATAAAACCTCTCCAATCTGGCAAAGGAAACAGACTTCCAGGAAGTCCAGGAAGCTGAGAGAGTCCCAAAGAAATTGGATCCAAGAAGAAATACACCAAGACACACCATAATTACATTACCCAAGATTAAAGATAAGGAGAGAATCCTAAAAGCAGCAAGAGGAAAAAAGAGAGTTACCTACAAAGGAGTTCCCATATGACTATCAGCTGATTTCTCAAAGGAAACCTTACAGGCAAGAAGGGGCTGGAAAGAAGTATTCAAAGCCATGAAATATAAGGACCTACATCCAAAATTACTCTATCCAGTACAGTAAAGCTATCATTTAGAATGGAAGGGCAGTGTTTCCCAGTGTTTCCCAGAAGTGTTTCCCAGATAAGGTCAAGTTAAAGGAGTTCATCATCACCAAGCCCTTATTATATGAAATGTTAAAAGGACTTATCTAAGAAATAGAATAAGATCAAAACTATGAAGAGTAAAATGACAACAAACTCATAACTAGCAACAACTGAACCTAAAAAACAAAATACAAAAATATTAATTAAGCAAACAACTAGAACAGAAACAGAATCACAGAATGGAGATCACATGGAGGGTTATCAGCAGGGAGGGGAGTGGGGAATGCGGGAAAGGGTACAGGGAATAAGAAGCATAATATGTAGGCACAAAATAGACAGCGGGTAGTTAATAGTGTAGGAAATAAAGAAGCAAAAACCTTATGTGTGCGACCCATGGACGTGAACTAAGGTGAGGGAATGCAGGTGGGAGGGGGAGTGCAGGGCAGAGGGGGATAAAGGGAAGAAAAAAATGGGACAACTGTAATAGCATAATCAATAAAATATACTTAAAAATAAAATTTATATTCATAATTTCTCCTCCTGGTCATTTACTACTTTGTTATTATAGTTATAATGTTTATTCTGGTGACTCTCAAAAACTCTCAATATAAAAATTTGTCCTTTCCTTACATCTGAACTTTAGTTCTACATTTCTTTTTTTTTTAAGATTTTATTTATTTATTTTTAGAGAGGGAAGGGAGGGCGGGAGAGAGAAACATCAATGTGTGGTTGCTGGGGTCATGGCCTGCAACCCAGGCATGTGCCAGGACTGGGAATCGAACCTGCAACACTTAGTTCTACATTTCTCATAGATCTTTTTAAATTCAAATACAGGGTCCAGCTGAAGTAATGCCTACTTGAGTGTGGTTGGTAGGGTAATAATATGGGTGTAATTTATAATTTTAATTTGAACATTTCACCTAAAATGTTATATGGTGTGCTTGCATGTGATATTGTTATGATACATAATTACATGCTTATGATTTTATAGTAAAAGATTTTGTAATAAAAAAGGGGCATTATTTGTGCTGGACCCTGTATATTGACATTTTAGAAAAGTTGAGAATGCTGAAAATCATAAAGAAGAAAATTAAAATATAATAAGTCTGAAATGTGTAATTTCATTTTAGTATTCTTCACAATATACTGGCAATGTTTGTATTATTTGTAAATGTGAAGTAATCATTATTGGTGATTCTTTTAGGGAAAAAAAGAGAAAACAGGATTCCTTCAAACAATATTTTGTTGAGACCTAATATCCAGCCATAGAGTTTCATAGTCTCTCTGAATGTATACTATTATTAACAAAATTAATTTTTGTTTTTTTCTATTAGTTGCAAGTATAGCAGTTGTATAGAGATGTTCCTTTGTATCTTTGATTAAGTTTTTTTGTGGGAAAGAAAATAAAAACCAAGAAATTCTAGCTGTCTTTAATGTAAACCTGCACTAAATACTTGGCTGAGCCAGTTAACCCGAACAACTTTCCCTATTATAACAGTACTAACCACCACGCATTCTGCCCATGTAGGCTTTACATGTACCGTATTTTTCTGGCCATCAGATGCACCTAGGTTTTAGAGGAAGAAAAAATGAAAAAAAATTTTGAAGCAAAAAAAATGTTGTAAAATATTTAATAACATAAATAACATAATATTTCACCAATGTAAATGTAAATGTAAACAGAACTCAACAGCAGCATTAACAACCATTATTCCTGCCAAATTTGTGGGGGGGGGGAGTGTGTTTTATAGTCTGGAAAAATACGGTAACTCTAGAAAACAAGACTCAACAGAGTTAAATAGTTACTGAAGATCACATAGGTAGTGAGTGGCGGTCCCAAGGTTCTACTGAAGAGGCAGCCTGGAAACAGAGCTTTTCACTGCACAGCATGGCCTGTACAATCCAGTTGTCACCCGTAGGTCACTTCCAGTGAGATCAGGAGTTCACTGCGGTTGCTCTGTTTGACTCAAGTGCCAAACAGAGTGTGTGGAACATTGTAGATACTCCAAATGTATTTGTGGAGTTAATTCATTTGATTGATTTCTATTTTCAGAAAAACTAAATAAAGGTGGATGTTTCAGTTGCCCGTTGCCAGGTAACAAATCACACCAGAACCTGGTGGCACAGACCACAGCCCTGTCTGTGATTCTCCAGTTTGGGCAAGGCTGAGTAGGGATGTTCATCTCTGCTCCACAGGGCATCTAAGTAAGACAGCCCCTCACTCTCCAGGGCCTCTCTGCATAGACTTTGCATTGTATAACTTTACATGGCGTCTGAATCCTAGATAGTAAAAACAGAAAGTCCCAGGCTTCTCAAAAATCCAGCATGGTGTCACATCAGGCCAAACTCTGTTAGTCAAGCAAAATGTGAGGCCAGCCTAGATCCAAGGGGAAGGAATGAAATGGATTCCACCCTTTGATGACACGTGTGCATCAGGGCAGAGGGGTTGTAGGCAGTTATCTTTGGAGGCCATCCATCACAGGACACAAATAAGAATTACTCAACTTTGAATTTTGGATAAACTCCTATCACTTGAGATTCTTGATGAAAGAAACTTTTTATTTTTTATGCTAAAAGGAAACCGCAGATTAAAATCTCAACATGATGGGTGGCAGGGGCCATGTGCAGTGCCAAGGCTTTCCTGCCATTTTTACAAGATGCTTACCAAGTATGCTGTCTGCTGACACTTTTCATTTTGTTTTTCAGTTACTGAAAAACTATTCTAAGTGGAGAGAAGAATGTCCAGAAATAAGTGCAGATCTACACCCTGGTAGTGTTCTTGGCCTCCTGAGGGCAGGCTACCTTGGAGCCCTGAGAGCCAGGGATCCCACCGGCAGCAGAGTTCTCATTTACAGAATCGGTAAGTCAGACATGGTGCTTCCTCTTGATTTCCCTTGATGCCACACAGAGGGCTTCGGTGAGTCTGTAGGTAAGCATATTTAGGTTTTTCAGGTTTTAACTTAGGTTTAATTCATATTTTAACATCCCCTAAGAATAATAAAACTGGCAGTTGTGAGAAAATTAACAAAACCAATGAAAATCCAACTTCATTTTCCCATACCATCAACTGTATAAAACAGGAGAAAAAGAAAACAGAAGAGAAATAGTAGGGGAAAGATGAAAAAGATCAAAAGAAAATGTTTTAAAAACATGTAATGGGAAATGGAAATAAAAGTTCTGAACTACAGCAACGCATAGAAGCTGTCTATTCCATTCTCTGATGTATATACCAAGCACTGAACTAGGGCACATGGTAGGTGTTTATTAAGTATTTTGGAATGAGTGAGTGAATGACTAGTTGGATAGCGCCCAAGCTGCGGAGCACGGTGCTCGTTCCCCTAGATGGAGAAGGGTGCAGTGGGAAAGCAGAAACCCAGAAAGTTGTGGAGACACTGTATTCCACATGCCCCTCCTGCTTTTTATTGTTTCCGCTTTTCATTATCAGGTCTCCCTAGTATTTCTTGTAGGTTGTCTATCTCCAATTCCTGCCCCTTCCTTAGACCTGCGTGGGATGAAAAATGGCATTCAAGGGAGAAAGACACGTACCACCTGTGGCATGTTCCCGTGGCCCAACATTTTGTGATCAGAATCTTATGAATTATAATCTTCCAGAAACTTGTACATCTTTAAATATTTTAGGAGACTTTAAGTTATGTATAGATTTTCTTTTCCTGCCTGCTTATAGATAAGATAGGTGCCTGCTATTCAGCTGTTTGCCTTCTTGCAAGAAAACACTGCATTTAATTCTTCAAAAAGTATCAGAAAACCGAGTAGAATGACTCTGGTGTTTTGCTCCAGCTTCTGTGTGTCAAATGCAGCTGAGTTAGTCATGAAGTCATTGTCTATAAACCAGACATCTGTTTAGAGACAATAATAGACATTGCTGTCTTGTTGCTCCAGTGGTGGTACGGGATGTTGAATGAAGTTCTTTGAATTCCTTGGGGCAGAGTTGCCAGATTTAGCATAGTACCTATGTTTTATGTAGCAAATAAACCTTTATTTTATGAAAATATAAAGTGTGCATTTACATTTGAATTTCAGATGAACAACAAATAAGTTTTGGTATGCATGAGGCATGCTTATACTAAAATATATATATATTTACATATTCTGTTTATTAAATATACTAAAATATATATACCAAATAATACTAAATATATGTATTTAGTGTATATACTTATACTAAATATATATATACTTATACTAAAAATATACATGTATATACAAGTATATATATAAGTATATATATACTTATACTATATATATATACACATACATACATACATACATACATATTCTTTTTCCTGGACATTCAGCTTTAACTGGGCACCTTATATTTTATTGGCAACCCTGCACAGGGATTCCAGGAATGTAACCCTGAAATCTACAGATGATTCTTTCTGCGCATATTCCAGCTCTGCACTGCCTGGCTGAAGTCTTCCTAGCTTGTCCATAAAGTAACTGGGGAAATTGAGTCATAAAAATGACACCTTAATAATGAAAAAACAAATGTGCTACTTTGATCATAAATGCCTTAACACTGAATCAAGTCTTTTATTGTTTAGTGAGGGTCTCTTATAGTGTGTTCATTTCTAAGAATACTGTTTAACTCCAAAAGATTTTAAAAACAGGAAAAACATGCAGGTGTACTGGTGGTAAGAAAGGATATGCAGCAAATCTCCTGTGTGTTATGCAAAATAACGTGTCATGTAGAATTACATGTTATTCTAGGGTAAAAAGAAGAAACACAGAAGAGTTTTATGAGTAAAATGAAAGGATACAATAAAGATTTATAAATTTTCTAAACTTAATTGCATTAATGGAAGGAACTGAAAAAGGAAATCTATGGTAGAGCTTTTTGACAGCACACTAGCCTAGCCACTGTGCTAGGTACCAGTACAAGCAGTGAAAAAGTGCCTAGAGCCTCTCCCCGGTTTGACAGGGCACCCTGAGACTAAAGTTTGGCCATTCTTAGCATACAAGCCAGAGGATACACAGCTGACCCTCGAACAACATGGGTTCGAACTACGTGGAGCCACTTATACACAGATTTTTTTTCAATAAATATGTGCAGTACTGTAAATGTGTTTTCTTTTCCTCATGATTTTCTTAGGAACGTTTTCTTTCCTCTAGCTTACTTTGTAATAAAACAGTATATAATGCTTATACCATACAAAATATGTGTTAATGGGCTGTTTATGCTATTAGTAAGGCTTTCCGTCAATAGTAGCCTATTAGCAGTTAAGTTTTGGGGGAGTGAAAAGTTATACTCGAATTTTTGACTGCCTGAGGGTCAACATCCCTACCCCTGTTTTTCAAGAGTCAGCTGTAATTCTAAGCCTTTTGAGACTCACTACTATACTGAAGCAGCAAAAGTAAAATTTAACATTGAATATTAAGTTTTGACTATGGCTTAATTCTTCTGAATACAAGTTCTTAGGAATGCATTGCTTGTTTGGAATCTTAACTACATGGAGAACCATGTAGCTCTAACACCATTTTCTCACCCATCAAGTAGCTTAGGAAGAACCTATCTCATAGGTTTAGAATCTATTTCATAGTAAGAACCTATCTCATAGGATTACTGTGGATATTAATCCTATGAGATATAGGATTACTGTGATATATATAAAACATAATTAAAGCATCACCTAGTATACAATAATGACTCAATAAATGTTAGATACGTGTTAGAGAAGGAATTAAAATTTTAAGGCATGTTTTTCTTTTGCATTAAAAAAGATTCAAGTCCAGACCAGAGCTATCCAATGTGACTATGATGATGAAATTGTTCTACAGTAGCCACTAGCCACACAGGCTTTTGAGTACTTGAAATGTGGCCATTGCAACATAGAAACTGAATTTTTTATTTCTGTTAATGTTAACTGATTTAAATTTAAATAGCCACATGCAATTAATGGCTACCATATTAGACAGCACATGTCTTACCATGCTGGTTGGCTGAGAAATTTAGGAATATAACTATTTTCTGAACTGCAGACTTTCAGTTATTCCATTTGTATTTTTCACCCTTGTCGTTGTCAGCCAGTGTCTGAAGTAGTATAGTATAGATGAGTTGGATTGATTACTCAAATTCAAATTACAGGAATCCGAGGATTTTAAAACAAGGGGCAATTTCATTGTGCCTTTGTAGGAATATTTCTGATTATATCTGTTCTTTCTACATCATTAAGTTTTTCCTTGCTACTAGACCCTACCCATTGACATTTACATCTGTTCAGGGTTAGCCATTCAAAACGAAACAAAAGTCCTAGTTATTCCCAAGACCCTCCAGCCCCAGCCACCTCCCCAGTCCTATCATTCTCACCAAATTCGTAAGTTAGTGATGTTCACTATCCACATTTTCTTACAGTTCCTCTCAACCGACCCTGGTCTCACTGGTCTCACCCCCACCTCTCTGCTGAAATGACCTCAACAAGTTGTCATTGACCTTCTTTTCACCAAATCTAATGGACATTGAGGGGCATCCTGTTTTACTTGACCTCTCAACACATAAACACAGCAAACCAGTTCCTCTTTCTCACTCTCTCTTTTTTAGCAAACAGATTTTACTTCAAGGGAAGTTTCATGTTTCAATTACTAGATTAAAACTTTAATCTAGTAATTTAAAAAAGAGGGAGAAAATGAGGAGAGATAACTTACTGAAAAAAGAAGGCATGTTTATACCCAGGCATCAAAGAATAACATTATTATAATTCCTGAAAAAAAATTCAACAATGTCTCAAATTTAAAATAGTCTAGCACTTCTATAGAATTGTAGAATAGATATGTAATAACACGCAAATGTGAAATTTCTTACTCTGATTTAAATGGACAATGGATATTTTAAGACTATTTTACCTGAATCTTTTGTTTTGGGAATACAAAATAATTGCATGAGTATTAGAATAAATATGGTAAAATTTTGTTGATTATAATCCTAAGGAGAGGAAAGGCTTTTATGAGAAAAAATTCATAATTATGAAAATTAAAAGAAAGCATTCCCAAACTACCCATAGTAGTATTAAAACATCACAAAACTAAGTTTTGGTTTCAGTTTGGAGTAGATTTATTTTTGTTTAAGAGATAATTATCATTTAGATTTTATTCAAATTTAAAAATGTGTTGTAAAAATTTTAATTTATATTCTTAAAATTATTGCAATCACAAATATTATATGTTTTAGAAGAATACTACATATGCACCAATAACCATACTTTCTAGATCATTCCTTAGCAAGCCCACACTTTATATAATTTAGGTTGGTTCAATGCTTTCTTTTTCTTTGATGCCACATTCTCCTGGTGGTGTTCTCTGATTTAACTGGCTCTTCTTACACTCATTTGCTGGCATCCTCTATTCTACTCACCCTTTAAACTCTGAAGTTTTTTAGGACACTGGACTCAGCCTCCTTCTCTCAGGCTACTTTATCTCTTGACTGCAGCAAAGATAAACATAGATCAAAGATAATACCTGTCATAAGCTCTCATATAAACACAAACAATGCCCCGATATTTAACTACCCCATTACCTTTGTTCACAAGGATTCACACAACTAGCTCCCAGTCCAGCTGCATCCAATTGGACATTGCACAGCCAACATTTTAACATGTCCAACATGACGTATCATCTTTCCAACCAAAATATTTTTTCCATTGTTTCCTATCTCAATAAGTGTTGCCACCATTCTACCCAGTTGTCCAAGACAGACATTTTGGTATTTTGAAGTTTTACTATTACTTAGTCATGAATTTTTTTCTCTTTTTCTTTCACCCTGTTAGGCACTCCATGGACCCTTCAGTGTGAAGACTCATATTTTTTCGGCTTTGGAAAAATTTTCCCTACTGTTATTCTTCCTCTCTCCTCTGTGTCACGTTCTCTGTAATATTGCTTCCCAGAACGCTAGTTAGTTGGATTTTCAAACTTCTGGATCTAGCTGCATGTCTCTCAGTTTGCTTTTTCTCTTTTTTGTGTGTCTGTGTTTCAAAAAATATCACAATTCTTAGTGGATGCATGTTCGTTTGTTTTTAAGATTACCTGCTTGCCTGTCCATCACTGTCCTTTCTGCATGCCTCCGCCTGTCCCAGGAATGGTAGGGGAGGGGAGAGGAGAAGAATGTCAGTAATTCCTCTTCTTAGCTCAGGCATTCCCTGTTTTTCCTGGGTATGGGCAGCTACGTGCGTGCTTCTCTGACTCCGCTTTCTAAAGCCCACACTTACTGTGCTAGCCTGCCAGGGCATAACTCTGCTACATGCTGCTTGACAGTAAGTGGTGTCAGAGACATCAGCCAGCCTGTCCTACTTCTCAGGGATTTCCTTTTGCAACCTCTCTGGTTACTATAAGGCCCTAGTAGCTCTTCATGATACAGGCCATGCTTTTCCCATTTGCAGTATCTTTGAGTTTGGAGCACAGCAAGAGGCATTCCCATCTTTAGCCACTACCATCTCCTGCATGATTTGGGCTGCAGTTTCATCTGGCAATCAAATCCAGCCTGCATTTATTCTTTTTTTTTTTAAGGCACATGCTCTTAAAAATCTGTTCTTTGCTAGAGAGAAGCAGGCACATGTTTTGGGGCCACCAGTTAGATGTGCTATTTAATTCATGATCTTTGTACATGTCTTTATTTTTATTAAGTTCAAAGAGAACTAATTTCCTTTTGCTTTCTGATTTTTACGCAATGCTGAGACATGACCTTTTTTATTTTATTTTTTTAGCATACTGGGACCCCAAAGTTTTTACAGCTTATGATGTATTCCGTTTAAGTCTAATCACATCCGAGCTTATTGTTCAGGAGGTAGAAACCCAACGGAATGGAATCAAGGTTGTCTTTGATCTGGATGGCTGGCATTTTTCTCATGCTTTTCAAATTACCCCAACTGTAGCCAAGAAGATTGCTGCTGTTCTTACAGTAAGTGTATAGTTGAACTTGTTGGGATTATACTTCCAATAGATTTTAATTTAGTTATGTATTACATAAAGAGAAGAGTTAGTACATTTATTAGAAAATCAAATAAAATTTTAGCAATGACACATAGAATTCAATAATGCTAAGAGAAAGTAAAATGTTTTTAATTCATAAGAGAAAGAATGTTGCAACAAATTGTAAAAATATGTTCGAGATTAGTAATCACAGAATTTAAACATTCAAACAATAATACATGTGATGACTTTCTCTTTGTTTCTGTTGTTAAAATTCTCTTTCTAAATTTTAAAAATTGAATAAAAGATAATATTCATAGCAATGGTACAACAAAATGTCATAAGTTTGGAAGGTATAAATTGACACATTTTTTATTTTTTTAATTTTTTTATTTTTTTTAGAAATCAAAAGCTATTTTAAATGGCCATGGTTTCTGACCTAGTAATCCTGTTTTGGTGAACAGAGGCAAGGAATCATGTTAAATACAGTAAAGACCTTGCATATAATAGTAATACCTGTGTACCAGGTACTTGGCTAAACCTTCAAATGAATTATCATTCAATGGCTACACAGTCATATGTTATGTGACTATTATTTTCCCATTCTACAAATTAATTAACTATGGCAGAGAGGTGATAGCAATGCCTGAGCACATTTGTTTTGTCAGTAGGGAAGCAAAGATTCCAGTCCAGAACATCTGAAATAAAAGCTGTGCTTACAGCCATCATTACCTCCTTCACATAAAGATAGGTGCTAGAGCATCAATTCTTATAGATTAAAATTAGAAATAGCTTATCTGTTCAGAAATAGGAAAATGGTCACTTAAATTATGGTACATCCATCTGATGGATTATTGCAACACATTAAAACTCATGATGTTTATACAAATTGTATTATATCAGTGGGGCAAAACAGGATACAAATTATTTAGAGAGCATGTTAGCAATTATGTTTAAAATAAAATTATGCATAGGAAGAACCTGGAAAGAAAGTTGTCCAATAGATATCACAGCTCTAAAGGCTTTTCATAGAGGGAAAAGAAAAGAATTTTGTGTGAAAGAACCTTGGCAGGAAATGTCTTTATATGAACTGCAGATCTGTGGGTAGGGAAACTATTGATGAGGTTTTTGTCTTTCAACTCTCAACTTTTTAAACCCTCTGAATAAGCCTGTATTACTTTTATATTGAAGACTTATACCAGTATCAGAAGTTTAAAAGTGTGTGTTTGTTGTACTATCCTTTAACTTTTATGAAACTTTAATTTTTTTCAACATAAAAATTTGAGGGAGAAGTTTCCTTATTAACATCCAAATAACTCATTGATTTAAGTTGAACATTTATATGTGATTGAAAAGAAATTTTTGTGTCTTTTTAATGAAAGATGAAGGTATTTCTTAAAATACTTCCCCTAAACTACAAAATAAACACTTTTTAGGGAACTTTTCTTAATCTAGTGACAGTGAACTATAAAGCAGGCTATGTTGTGTTGATGGAAAAAAATAATTTGGAAGATGAAACACACGTAGGTGCTGTTGTAAGTTTAGAAAATGTTCAAAGAAGGGACTTGTCAATAGAAATATATATCTATTCATGCTTTCTTATTAATAAGATTTTTCTTTATTTTCCAAAGGATTCCTTTCCATTAAAAGTTCGTGGCATCCACTTGATAAATGCACCGATAATTTTTCATGCTGTCTTTTCCATGATTAAACCATTCCTGACTGACAAAATTAAGGAACGGGTGAGTGAAGCATATTCAAGTAACTATTCCTCTCTACCAAATGTTCCAATCCTTTCTCATTCAAGAACTACTTTATTAACAATCACACCACCATTGGAATAATATTTTGTATTTATCTAACAAGTCAACTACTCTCATAAATTAAAATTTCTTTTTGATTTTGAAAAATCAAGTTAGTGATTCTAAGGGGTAACTTGGCCTCCTCGCATATAGCTGGTCAGAGTGCAGTATGATGTATTCCCTATAGAGGGCAGTGTAGTAATAGTTATCAAAATTACAGCCTTTGTGCTTCTGGGAATGTATTCTATTCACACATGAACAAAATTGCATATATATGTGGATTTATTGCAGCAAAAGATTGGAAATCACTATGTGTTTATCATTCGGGGACTGGTTAGATGAACTGTGAGATGACACAGTGCAATACAAGATTTGCAGGATTTATTGTAAAGTAAAATAAGCAAAATGCAGAGGAGCTTATGGTATCCTACCTTTTGTATAAAAAGAGGAAAAATCAGAATCTGTAGTTATATTTGCATTAAAAGTTCATTAAAAGGCTCAACAAGAAAGCAACCTAAGTGTTTATCTATACAGAACAGAGGTGTGGATAGGGCAGATGAGGATAAGGGTGAGAGCTGGACACCTCACTGTGTATCTTTCATCTTGTTTTGACTTCTAGCCCTGTGAATGTACTATCTGTGCAAATAAAAAACAAGCATTTTAAATAATACATTTTAACCGAAAACCACAGTACCTGAGGTACGTGACTTAATGTCATGCTGGTTGAAGAAAAGAGACTTGATTTTTTTTTTTAATCTACCCTGTTGAGCCTAATCTCAGGTGAAAATATAATATCTCTTAGAGTGTTCATTAATCTTTAAAAGAGAATTTTTAAAGCATTTATTGAGACAAACATTGGCAACATCTAATGCCTGAAAGAAAAACAGTTTTTAAAAGCTTCAACAATTTAAATGTCAAACATTATTTAAATACAAATGGTGATCATATAAGTTATAATACTGTATTTGGAATTTTAAAAAATATAGATGTTTATATTACAATGTAATATCTTACATCTGTTTAGAAAACTATGACCCCAGAGATTTTTTTGAGGTTATCCAGTGGGTATTTGCAACTGTCTTCAAGGAGAACCACATTTCTGAAGATGTCCCATTTTCATTCTGGTATTTTTTATAAAAGTTGATTCTTTTTAAATTTTTTTCTCTTCAATGTAGCATGATAAAAGCTGGCTACCCTCTTTTTAACTCTGAAAGATCTAAAACTAGGTATTTCTATTTTGGGCTATACTCTCAACAAAGAAAAACAAAAGCAATAATAAACTGAACCTAATAAATAGGAGAAGATGAGCAAAAAAGAAAGAAAAATAAAAATGGAGAAGTAAAGCATTTTATTAAGTCAATTGATATGAAACAGACTTGCCAGAATGCAGGGGTGGGGAGGATCCCAATCCAGGTACTTTTCTCCTTTTCAATACTTTGGCAATACTCTGTGAATGTTTTTATTTCCCCCTCCTGAAGAGATAGTAGACTTTCTTCTCTATTAGCTCATAATATTCTAAACATTTCAGAAAAAAACCAGGATTGAGGACTGTGAGTTTCCTGAGTGCAGGAAGCTTGTTTCATTCATTTTTCAGTCCTCATGTCCTAGCACAGTGATTTTCAACATGTGTGCTGCAAGAAGTTTTAAAACATGCAACACCTGACTATTTAGTCAGGGGCACTGACCTCTTTTCCCTCGAATCATCAAATAAAATAATGACAACAGCCAACACAACAATAGCTGGCTGATGTGAATGTTCTGTCCTACATGACCTATATATTTATATGATCATAATATTATGGTCATATAATAGAATCACATCTTATTGGTCACATCACATAATAAAGTTACATCCGATTGGTTAATTATTGGTATCAGAAATCCTTATATACAAGTATAGGTGCCTGATTTTTTAAAAAGTCACTTTGGAGCAAAAAGGGTAGATAATTACTATTATTATTTTCCATAAATCAGTCAAAATTATATCTATTTTGTATCAGATTGGCAAAAAATACAATTTTTGGTATGCTGCAGAATTTAAGTAATTAGTTTATATGTGCCATGAGATGAAAATGGTTGGAAATTGCTGTCTTGGCACATAATAGGCATTTATTAAATGATTGTTGAATGTTTTGATGAACATTTTGCCCTGGTGGATGAAGAAAGGTTGTTTTTTTATATTTATATTTTAACAAGATATGCTTTTGATTTAAGGTTCTAAATCTTTAACTTTGAGCATTATATGATTGATATTTATAGTTGGAAATATTTGAAAGTTTAAGGTTTTTAAGCAACATAATTGTCTCCTAATTTTATACTAGCAAAGAATATCCATCAAATGTACCAGATAAATTATTTCCTGTATACCTAATTTTGTGTGTAATATATGCTTCTATTGCATCTGAAATAATACCAGTAGGACACTTTTATGATCTACAGAAAAGTCCCAGGATATCTGATATTTTGCTAATAATCACTTTTACATCAGGGAACAGAATGTATAAAATACTTTTATTTAGACTTTTAAAAATCTACTTGTGAAAGAGGATAATAACTTTTTTATAAATCTTATATAGTTGTAAGAATACAGATATAAAAAAACAGTAAGATGATCAGATTCATAAACAGCACAATCCAAACAAGTAAAATTCTTTGATTCATAAGCAGAGGAATAAAGGATGTAATATCTATACATGCTCTCCTATCTTGCAAGTTTTTAGAGTACCTCATTTTATGGTGTTGATTTTCCATTGAAAATTCATCTAATGTATCAAAAAGGCAGAAGACAAACCTCCTAAAACATTTTGGCTATTTCAGATTCATATGCATGGGGCCAATTACAAACAAAGCTTACTTCAGCATTTCCCAGACATTCTTCCTCTGGAATATGGTGGTGAAGGATTCTCCATGGAAGACATTTGTCAAGAGTGGACACATTTTGTAATGAAGTCTGAAAATTATCTCAGCAGTATTTCTCAGACCACTTAATGAGAAGTTATTTAATGTGAGTGCCTTGAGTACCTTCCTAATTAAAAATACATAAATAAGATCATACCTGGTAACATGAATGAAAGAAGAAAAGTCTTTTTTATCTCATTAATGCTTGTCTGGCTGATCTTTTGTGATATGAGCAACATATGTATTTAGGAAACTACTTTTTAAATGCATTTACCTTTGAAGTAATTAAATGTTAATATACTTAAAAGCATAGAAGAGATATACTGATTTTTACACTTGAAAGTTATCTGTAAAGTAGCTATTCATTTGTACCTTTGTATGTTTCCAGAAACTTTTGTTTCAAATAGTTTGTCTGAGTACATTTGTTCAGGAACAAATGTATAAATAGTCCATTAAAAAGAATTATTAGTACAACTCAACTGATGATAAAAATCTCTTAATACTCATTTTGGGTGGGTGTCAGATTAGATTATAATTCAGATTAAAATCTGAATATGGTTTTACTGTATTTACTTTTCTGTGAGCCAGCAAGACAGTTCATCTCAGGGAAATTCTATTTTAGCATATTTGCACAATAGAAACTCTTGATGGCAGAGTCTATATATCATAAATTATTGTGTGTAGCATCTGTGGGCCTCTGTGAAATAACTGCTGATACAATTTTGAAAATATTTCAGGCAGAGTTAATGACTTCTTAATACTGTGTCTGTCTGCATTTTTATACAAATCAAGAATGTAATTTTGACTTCTGTTTTTGGTGATTCTTATCATGATTGCATAGATATTTAGAGACAGAACAATGGTTGTATGTATGGACTCTCTTTTTAGTGGAACAATAACATGACAACAAAAGGAAAATCATATGTCTCCATTTTTTAAATCACTGTCACATACATCTGGAATTTTGAGGATTATGCATGAAATGATTTGAATTTTATTATCATCGCAGAATATTCAAGCCAAATCCTATAATTCACATTTACTTAAAAAAATCAGTAGTAGAAATATGATGTTTGTACTGTAGCTTATAACAGAATATTTCATTTATTGAGAAATATGAAGGTATGGCTTTCAATTTGTGACAGTTCTTATAGTGTTTTATAATTTTCAATTTTATTTTAACTTCAAAAATTAAAGAAAATACTGAAAAATTTGTTAGACATTTGCTCAACTTAGTTGGGTTTCTACATAAATCATACAATAGTATCTTTGTGAAAGAGTATGTGAAGGATGTTTTTCTTTATAAGAAAATTATTCTAATTAGGTGAGCTGATATTTATTTTCTGCACATATATCTATGATAAAATTGAGAGCAATTGTGAATGTTCTTTAAAGAATGTGTTTTATTTTGATTTAGCATTGGGAAATCTGATTTTACATTACAATTTTTATGAAAAATTAGATGGTGCCTGTTTTCTAAAGAAAAAGTTTTTCTTTTTTACAATAAAACCATTTTAAAAGAGTAAACAATAACAACAAAAAGCTCTGGTTTACCCAGCTTTTATTCCTAGAAGGAGATTCACATAGCAAAGTATCTTTTCATTTATGCTGGGTTACTTAACACACTGCCGCATGGCTCTGTAAAAGAATGATTATGTTAGCACGTGAATAATGGACAACATTTAAGAATGTCTTTTAAATGTGATTCAGTAGTGATGTTATTAGCAGTAAATAGAAATAAGTCAATCAGGAGAAGGGCGTTTTATTCTGGGACCTTGAAATTTTTACAAAATGCAGCAATTCACCGAAGAACATTAGAAGAACAGTGTGAAATGAGCAGGCAGTTTTGTGAGGTGGCACCAGAAGTGCCCTTTGAAGATTGTCTCTACCACGTGCTCATTGTGTTACTGAACTGCATAATAATTTATGTTTTAATACTGTTCAAAAGAAAATAAAGATTTTTCACATAAACTATAGCTGCTTCTTTTTTATTTAAAAATATAAATATTAGGCATTCTCTTTTCCAAAACTGTTTTTCCTGACAAAAGAGTTTAAGAAAAACCTACCACATCTAGTTGTCCACTACACAAAGTCCAGTTTTTTCTTTATAACTTTTCATTGCAGGCTGGTTTCCCCAACTATTTCGTTCAACACTACCTTCCTCCAATGTCTTTTGCTGTGCTTAAAGGGACCACAAACTAATTTTATAAAACTAAGCTGTGTTTACTTACTAAGTTAAAGCTTCTAGTGAAAAAAGCCAGAACGTGCCACTTAATCAGATAATTTAATTTTGAAACAATTTGCCCTTAGCCTAGATTATGAAAAACTATATATTTTTCTTACACTGAAGTCCTAGAGCAAATATCTTTGTCACTCACTTAAATTAAGGCACAAAACAGGTCAAATACACAAAAATACCAAAAACTTAGGAAACTGGTAAGATGGTATTGTCTGAAACACTCCTTATTGATCCGTATATGTTGAATTTTGCTCTATTTAATGCTGTGGAGGAACCATGAGTTACAAGGACGGAACTAGAAATGACTGAATACAACCAGGGCTGAGAGCAATACATCCCCACTACTTCTCTGGTTAGCAAGGACGCAGAGCAGCCTCTGCAAGCCCCACTCCGAGCACTCCATTAACTGCTCTTTTCTGTCCAAGTCAATTACATCAGTCTGATTTTAAATATCTACTTTTGATGTCACTGTACATTGAATTAAGTACTATAGTGACTAGCAAAATTAACCAGATGCTACTTTGAAGAGAGAAAAAAATACTTCAGTGTTACATATATTTGGGCTGTAATGAAGAATAAAAAGCATTTATTTAAGCAAAGGAGGGATTGCAATCCAGGGTACAGATTGAGGTGGCAACCTAAATTGTGGTCCAGGGAAAACAAAGAAATGCGGGGCTTCTAAAGGCTTGGGCTGCACTGCTGTCCTCTTTATGTAAAGAAAGGATTCTGGCTGAGTTAATAGGGGCTGGCTTAGCCCCATACACAAATGAAGGATGCTGGTTGGCAAAATGTGTTACAACTTTCAAAGTAAGAAACACAGATGATCTGGTTATCATATTGAGGAGGAGATAAAGTTTGGGCACAGCTGAAAAGTGCAAAAAGTTCATGGAAAAACATGCTATTTGGAATGCAAGTCAAACTTCTTCATGGTGTCCAAGCTCCATGGTAGTTCCTTGGACATAAATGATTCCACCTTGGTAATCTCCGTTCACAATATGCAAAGTGGACAGGCAATATGCAGTATAGTATAAAGTTCATTAGGACGGTTCCAATAAAGTGTTTTGGGTGGGTAACAGAAGGAAAGATCATTTCCACCTGAGAAAAAGGAGGGAGTATCTTTAAAGGAAGTACACTTTAAAGCAGGGCCTTTAAAGAGAACTGATTTTCCCAGAGAGTCATGAGCACCAAGGAGAGGAAGGGTAGTCCAAGAAAAGAAATAGCATGAACAAAGACTTAGGGGTGAGAAATAAAAGGTCATGTCCGAGATATAGTAAGCTCATAGCCAATGAAAATCAGGCTTTTCCACAGGATCACAATGAAAGCCTTCCAAAGACCTACACATGGGAGATTGTGGTGTGGCAAGGTCTATTCAGGTAGAAATCTACTCCTGTATCCCATCTCCATCCATCATGCCATGGACGAAGTCCAGTTGTGTCCTCAGGAGGCAAACACAAAGGCCAGTGTCCAGAGTTTCTGTTTCTTATTACAGCCTGGTCCTTTGGAGCCTGCGTGTCTGTTGCAGGCCCACAGGCTGCTAGACCCACGTGGTTGTGTGTGTTCCCAGATGAGAGAGAGAACACATGAACAAATGGGGTGTGCAGATCACGAGAGAGAGAGAAGAAGAGAGAAAGAGTAAGCTTCTTTGTTCTCCTGGGGTTATAACCAGGAGCTTTGTCAAAATAACCAATTAACATCCCAAGCTTTTGTGGGCTTATGATGAGTCCACTCCTAGTTAGACTGACAGGCCTTTATACTTGGTACCAAAGAAGGGAAGGGAGTGCTAATCCTCCTGGTGGAGAAATGTTGAAATCCCCTGGAGTGTGTAAAGCTGCAGCTTCCTGGCTAAGCAAACAGGCTTATGCTCACCAGTTTATTAAGATCAATGTTTAATTCTCTTTGCTCTCTTTCTTATTAACAATTAGCTAACTACCTATGGTAGCATAGAGTCCTATATTTTTGGAGAGAAGATGTGGGTACAGGAGTTTGGGCCTCTTGCCTAGAAAGATCCACGTGGAACAAAATACGGGAGGCCCTGAATGCGAGCTGAAGGATGCTCAAATACATGGATTACTTGTTTTGTGCCAGACACTATATTAAATTCAATACATTGTTATGCAATCTTTGTGGAAATAAAGGAGGTAGCATTATGTCTATTTTTACATAAGAGGACTGAACTCAAGAAATGTTCATTCTTTGCTCAGAATCCCAGAGCTAGTAAAAGCCAGGGTCAGACTGAACCCGACAGGCCAGGCTGTGAAGTCCATCCGCTCCACAACACCAACACCATCTTGCTCCCAATATGCCCAATTCCACAGACCATGGGGTGTGATGGCCATCAGATTCTATCAGCCCTACATGGAAATGCCTGATCCTGACCCATTGCTAAGGCTAATTATCTCTCATCTAACCTGCTGCTGTAGCCTCTTCAACACACTACCAGTTTCTCATTGTTCTCATTGTTCCTGCCTGTTCATACCTCTTTCACTGCTGCATAATCATCTATCTCAAGATTTTATTCCCAGAACTTGGAGAGAACAGATCTGTGTGCAGAATAAACTGCTAATAGTTACCGAGGCCTTTCACAACCAGGCCCGACCTGTTTTTCCATCCTCACATCGAGAACTCCTAACCCCACCCATACTCTAGGCACACCAACACTTCACCACTTAGAACAATATTGCCTCTTTCACACAAGAAACCTCAGAATCAGTAGCAGGGAGGGGTGAGGGGCAAGAGATGAGAGGTGTGTGAATTTTGTACTTTGAACCTTTGCTCTTACAGTTTTCTCTGCTCCAGGCCCTTTGCTGCTTTATTTGTTTATCTTCAAAGTCTCATTACTATGTCACTTCTGTAAAACAGTATCTGAGAATTATTTACTCCCACTCATGTGGTCCTCTCTGTGAAGGTCAGCCTTTATGACACTGAATTGAGTGCTATTTACCCGCCAGCCTGTTCTCCCTGCTGAAATGTGCTCTCAAATGCAGACACGATCTTTTTCATCTTTGTATAATCAGTACCCAGCCAGCATCAAGCACAGGCTCCGTACTCACAACATGCAGACCTGCATGAGGGATGTGTCTTATAGCAAGGCTGAGCAACAGCCATGGGGCCTGTGCTAAACGGGATTTTGTTACAGGAAGTTGGGCTGACCTCAGCCACCTCCTTACAAGCCTTTGGAGTTGACCTCCGTTTGTTTTCTCACTCATCCTAAATGTGAACTGTTTTACAGTGAACATATTGGCTTCGTTTTGTCTCAAACTTCATTTCTCTGTTTTAAGAATCTTAACTAACTGAATTTCATTTTTTGGTTAGCTTTCAATGTCATTTATTTTTTGCCCTTATCATTTCCTTCTCGCCTATTCCTCACATCACCTACATTCTAGACCTCCCAAAACCTTTGGGTGGCTTTTGTGGAAGTGATTACTCAATCTTAAAATCTTTCTCCAAATTGTTGCTTTTAAAATTTTAAAAATTATTATTATTATTATTATTATTATTAATCCTCACCTGAGGACATTTTTTCATTGCTTTCAGGCAGCGAGGAAGGGAGAGAGAGAAACACTGATGCAAGAGAGAAGCATCAGTTGGTTGCCTCCCAAATGTGCCTGTACCGGGGGATCGTATGCACCCGGACAGGGGATCAAACCCACAGCCCAGGTTCTGTCCTGACTGGGAATCAAACCACAACCCTTTGGTTACAGGATGGTGCTCCAACCAGCTGAGCCACACTGGCTGGGGCTAAATGATTTTTTAAATTTATTTTTCAATTACAGTTGACATATAATATTATATATTAGTTTCAGGTATACACCATAGTACTTAGACATTATATAACTTACAAAGTGATCGATCACATCAGGTAAGTCTAGTACCCATCTGTCACCATAGAGTTATTACAATGTTACAAAATTGTTGCTTTTGTTAACCCTTTCCATTCCGCTCAACTGTTCTAAATTTTTCCTCCCATCCTTAAAACCTGCACAGTTCACTTTATTTCCCATACAGTGTTAGGGAGTTCTTCCTATATTTTATATTGATTAAATAATTATTCAAATTCAATCTGGAGCACTTTTAGAAAAAATCATGTTTATTTCTCTGGCAATTTCGCAGGATTTTTTGTAGGTTCCAGGTTCTGTATATACTGATGACAATTTGTATAATTATTCATCATTTTCCTAGAGAAAATGGAATTGTTAGTTATATTAAATAACTCTACCACAGGGTCCTACCATCTGCAGGCACTAAAGTTTTACATACAGAAAAGTCTTAATCAGGACACCTTCCCTTACCACCATACCCTTTTCTCAGCTTCTATATGGTAGAAAGGATAACTCTCTGGTGAAGAATTATTCACTCTTCTTAGTTGCCTCAAATGACAACTATGTTTTTCACTTGTCAAAGCTGAGCCTACTAGCATACTCCTAGCACACGTTGGACAGACTCAGGTTACCTAACCGTCTCATCAGTTCTTACTGGACATGTCGTCCAACCAGCTTCTTAAACAATTTAAATTCTTCTCTGACCTCTTTAATGACTATCATTTGTCCTGATGATCCACTAGTAACTGTCCTCTGAACTCCTGGAGACCTACACCAAAATGTTACTGCATTCTGGTTCTAACAGTGCCATTAAAGGAAAGCTGAGAGCTTGGTGGGGGATTTTAAGGACTTCATTGCTACATCTGATCACATCTAAGCCACCTTTTTGCCTCTAGCACCTGAAGTATGGGCTA